GTGGGGGTGGAGGTGGTGGGGCAGGAGCAGTGTTAGGTGGAGGGTTAGATTTCTCTGGTGAAGCAGAGCAGACTGTGAGCTGGGAGCACGAGATCTTCTTTTCGTTGGCAGATGGCCCTGAGGGAGGTGCTGGTGCCTTGGAGGGGTTTGATGATCCTGCTGCGCTCTGAGCTGCATGTGCACATGGCTCTAGCTCAGCCTGGACACCTCCATTCGCACTCCCAGACAGCCGGTTTTCAGCTCGCTTTTGCTTGTTTGGATGTTTCTTGATAGATAACAACCTCTCGATGACTTCTTCAACTGTGTTCCCTTGGACTAGAGAAATGGGTCAGGGTCAGAGAAGAATGGGGCCCAAAGGTTGGTTCATGCTATTCAACCCTCACCAAGCAGCAGATCTGGAGCCACAGAGCCCACTCCCTGGTTTCACTTTACACAACTGCACTTTTAGCTTCCAGGCAATTTCCTTCCCATGGTCCCGGCCCATTAACACTGTTTTGAGCATGCCTGCCTGCAAGGCTAGCCAGCACCAGTGGTAGGATGCCAACAAGGACAGATTCCCATTGACTCCCATGACTCAAAGCTCTGGGCTTGACCATCAGAGCAAGATCATGAATCCCAAGCCCACTGCTAACTGGCATCTGCATGGCCGGGGCTTCATATCACGACCTGACCCTATGCAGCAGGTGTAGCTTTGTCCCAGCTTCTGTTCAGCTCTTAGCAAGTCCCATAGACTATTTCTTGTGCATTTGGGAAGGACTTTGTGGGCAATGGGTGGGACAAGGGAAAACAAAAGGAGAGTGCAAGGCTGGACAGATACGTCATTCTTACTGTCATTTGCGAGCAAAAGGGCTCTGTTCACTACGGCGTCCAAGGACTCCCACAGCAAGAGGCTGGAGTGATGAGATGGTTCCAAGTGCAGCAGGCTCTGGAGGATGGACAGCAGCTGGATGGAGACCGGAGAGCGGCTCACCTGGAAGGCAGGGCAGCTTTCAGTCACAACAAGGCTGGTTCCAAGCAAAGTGTGTTAACTTTGCCATTACATGACTTTGTGCCCCATGTGAGGGCCTACTTACTTTATTGAAGAGAGATGAAAAGACCTCATGATGATCATTCATGTTTATCCCATCACATATCTTTAGTAATTCCTCATCATCTTCTATCTTGAACTCCTCAAATGTATCACACTGGATAAGCAGATCCTCCTCCTCTATGTCTCTGCAATATTACAGCATTCATTTTCACTGGAGAGCTCTTCACTGATTTTCAGATGATCGCTTTTGTTTAAATGGCTTTTATCTCTTTGCCTCTCAGACTCAGCCAGTTGGTGCTGAAAGTACCCAACTATACCTTATTTATAAAGGATCAAATGCCATCAGTGCATCCTTTCTTGAACTGAATGTACCTCCTTCCACAGTCAACACATATAAATGAATGGGACTTTTCATGGCGTAACCTGGCCCAGTGTATGCTTTGTATGGACTTCTCCTTGGAGCTGTAACAACAGAGTGGCATTTCTACCTTTTTGAAACTGAGCCACCGTCTTTTTTTTTTTTAAAGTCAAGACAAAGTGAAAATATTCTAGTGATGTTTCTGTTTTAAAAACTTCCTTCTCTATTACTCAAAATTTGATTAAAAAACCCCCAAACTCTCTAAAGCCAACTTTTTCAGCACTCTTGAGACCACTCAGTGCAGGAACTCTACCCTTGCTAGTAGTCTGTATCAAAAGATCATCTCTTTCTTAATTTTTATGGGGTTGAATGGAGCAATTCCAGTTACATGGATAACTGCAACTCACATATAATGCATTCTAGTATTTACCATGAGTGTTTCTGACAGAACATCACTTTTAAATTAAGAAACTGCAAAGACAGGTATGTCCAGATATGCATTAGTAAAGCCTTAGCTGGATGCTCCTGGGACCACCACCAGCAGTGAAGGGGTTTGGATACAGCAAGCTCCTCAGTGAGCCCACAGCATGGCTTCAGGTTCAGTCTGAAATGCAGCCTCAACGAGCACGTCGCTGAGCCTCGCTCCATCTACGCCCAGAGCTTCTGTCAATGTGTCAAAGCCATCTGCACCAATGGCTGTCCCCGTGATGCTGTGGTTGGCGAAAGCGTCTTAACGCTGGCCTAATGCCTGTGGTCCCCGGGTAATGGGTGCAACTAGTGTGGTCCTCTCTACCCAGGTACACTTCACACAACTGAAGGCTGGTAAGTATTCAGTTTCCACAGCTATGTTACTCTGAATCTCATTTATAGAAGAAAATGTAAACAGTGATCCTTACCTTAGCTTGTCTAAAATATCCAACAGCTGAAGCCCTGGGAGAACAAAAAAAGAGATATATTGGCATTATGACCTACTTGGCACTGATCTATTATGTTTTTTATATAGTGTTATGGTCATAAACACTTTTTGCTGAGAGAAAATGCGAAAATACCTTCTGATGGATCTGTCAAAGTGGGTAGGGTCATCTGGTAAATGAAGAGACCCACGGTACACTTGTCTACAGCTGCGTGAACCACTGCAGCATCCCCCTGGAGCTACTGAGGGACACAGGCACTTCTGGGACTGAGTCACCTCATTCCGAGTTAGACATCTAAAATCAGTCAGACGAACGGTGTGGTCAAATGTCCCTTGCTCTCCACAGAAAGAAACGGAGCTCAGGTCACCAGCTCAGGTATGTGAGGTGCGTGCGTTACGTGAGGTGAATCCTAACAATGGTACCTAGGATCCTGGTATTCAAGCAGTTGGAAAGTACTTCTGAATCACAGGGCAGCTTCTGTGGCTCAACTGAATAGACACAGGGCAAAGAAACCTTATCTACTCTTATGAGGAGTTGCAACATATGGAAATGTGGCTACATAAGATGGTTGGTTATCGAAATGTATTAAAGAAGCTCAAGTGATACAGTGCTGATGGGATTCCAGAAAGTATTAAAGCTATGGGAAAGCGGCAAAGTTAAAAAAAAATCTAAAAATCTGGTTACAGAAAGGTTGTTGTAGAGAATAGAGACCAAAAAAAACCCAAAAGCAAAAGCCTGCCTTTAATATTTGCAGGTTTGCTCCCCAGCCCTCTTTAGTCACTTTATGGATACATCTGAAAATAAAACTGCTTGGCAAATGATTTTCCCCAAAGAAAGTTAGGTGCAACAAACATCCTTACCTATAAACTCGTTTCTGATTTGTGTCCTTGTTCTTAGCTCTTCTTTCCCCAGTATGATGGCATTGATAGCACTCAGCAGTGTCACCATGTACGGCACATTATCTGTGTTGGAGAGCTCGTTCATTATGACGCTGAATCGATACTGCTGGTTCTTCACACTCTGTTAATAACACAAGTGATATTTCTGTTCAGACTGTTCAGAAACGTCTACCATTTTGGTGCAGGCTCTCAGATGGAATTAGCATCTTAAAACCTCTCAGTATATCCCACTGTGCACAAGACAGGAAGATACAGGTAAAAGCAGCACTCCTCCATCACGGAACAGGGTCTGGTCAGCAGAGAAAGTCAGTGAAACTCCTCCTGGATCCCTTTATGCTTTCTGATAACTGATGCACCTACCTGGGCGTGTGGCCAGTGAAACCCATGGATGTGGCACCACCTATTTTGCTAAACTGGTAGTGCTTTTCCTGCCAGAAGGGACCTTGTGGTTGGTAGTCATCTGTCCAGCCAAGTTAGAGAACAGCATCATGGACTTCTACTGACCAGGCCAAAATTCCTATAGATTTTGCATTTTAAATCCCCACCTCTCTTATCAAAATGATGCCAAATGACCTTCATTCTCAACCCTTTTCTGTGGTACATGGATCTACCTGCATGGATCAGAGCAGAGCAGTACCTCCTGCTGCAGCCCAACACTTGCCTTGTAATGGTCCAGGGCATCCAAAGCCAAAGCGTGGCCATCTGATGAGTAAATGCATAGTGCAGCCAGGAGCTCAAATACTTGCTTTTTGACCATGACATTAGTTGTGTCAAGTGCTGGAGGAAAAACAAAACAAAACAAAACAAAAAAGTATTTATAATGACACATTGATGGTCTGAATCTCAGTGTTTTCTGCTACATAGCTTATGACCAGTGGTAGAAAGAAGATTGCAGGAGTGGAGCCACTACATGGAAGATGGAAGAGAAAATATCTTAATTCATAGATATCCCATCTCAATAGCAATATCTGGTAGTAACTTCTAGTGGGAAGAGTATATGCTAGTTCAGGTACCCTGCTGACATTTTGGTGCTGCTTGTATGTGTTCATCTCTTCCATGTACCAGCGGTGTGCTGCAACAGCAGCCAAGATCTCAGCACTCACAATCACATATTTTATTTCTCATTTTCACATATGGGCATTTTCTAGAACAGCAGATGAACCATTTTCCTCAATTAATGAGTCTTATTTTTAGTGCAGAAGCACCCAATATGCATATCAAGTAGGCCAATTGTTCAAACCAGTCCCCATGTATTCCCTTTTTTCCCCACTATTCTTTCTCTGTGAGCCCTGGGAGCTGGGAGGGAGACTATTAGACCATCTTATTTTTCCTTTATTAGTGCACAAAGAAGCTTGACTGCTGAAAAGCCCAGGGTGCCCCCCTGTTTTTCACAGCACAAAAATGCTGCCCTATGTTTCACACTGGTTAAGAAAATGCAGGGTGGAGAGGAAGGAAGAAGACTTCAAAACTGAAGAGGGGAGCAAGCCAGCGTTCAGACTAAATGCGTTTTAAAGAGCTATTAATAAGGGTTTCTGGGCACAGCTGTGATCTCAGCTCTGTGGAGCAACACAGAAGCTATGCTCCCAGCACCACCATCATTAAGTGCTGTACAATAAGTCCTAGGAGATGCCCTGACTAGTTTCATACCTGATGATGAGCCAAGCAAATGGCAGGAGAAAGTGAGTGGTATTACCTAGCATCTTCTAGAAGGAACAGACTGAGCAGTGCAGAGAATGGGCTCTCGCATCTAAACCATGCCACCTTCACTCTTCTTTACAGGCTACAAGTCTCCAAGCCCTTTGAATTCCTCTCTCTATCCTTGGGGCTCAGAAAGACTAAACAGCAAATGTCTGCTGACAGCTGAAGGGTTGAGGACTTCTCATGCCTGTGTACAGCTAAAGCTGGGTTTATCCCTGGCTTCTCTGTGAACTATGAAGACATTTGTGTGGAAACAAGCCCATCTAAATACCACTGGGTGGCAAAGGCAATGCCATTTCCAAGCAATATTATTTTAAAGAAGAAAACAATCTCTTTCATTAATCATTTGCTATCAACAACTTGCAAGAAGCCTGGTGCAGGGCAGGAGGATAAGCAACAGAAAAGTCCCCCCCATGCTGCACGTGATGGGTGAAGCAGGAAGATGCCTTCTTACCTTGGAAGAGTTTTCTGACGTAGCCCTCGTTGCTCACGATGTATTCGATGCCTTTGTGGGAGTTCATGACTGCTCGCACACAGTTAATGCAGGTGAGCTGAAGCAAGGCATCAGAAATCCTGGCCACTCCTCGCCCGGACAGCCTGTCCAGGGCCTCCAGAAGGAGGTCCAGCCCACACAGCTCCAGGAACTGGACCATCCAGGCATCGTCGCTGTTCTCCAGCCGCTTCTTCAGCCCAGAGTAGTTCACCACCGATGGCATTTGCAGGAGACGGATGCACAGCTCCGGCTCTGCATTTTCCAGGTTGGCCTCAGACTGGTCGGTCTCCTGGGGTCCGAGTTTCTCCTTCAGGGCAGCCCACTTCTTGTGGGCACCTTCCTTTTTGAGTGACATCATGGACGGTTTGTCCTGAAAGGAAAGGAAAAGAAAAGACAAAGTGAGAAGTTTGTCTGGACTGACCAACAACCCTCTGGCAGCCCTGTTTTTTCTCCTAGTGATCGGGACGTACAGCTCAACTGCAGCAGGTCCCCAGCTCTCCAGCACGCAGTGTGTGGTTCACACACTGGAACCAGTCCTCTGCTGAAGAAACTCAATATATTCCCTCCTTAATCACACACATTACATTCAGGCCCTGAAAACTCTGTAAAGAGACTCTTAGCACATATAAGCCAGCAAATACAGCTTTAAAAGTAGCCAATTTACACCAGTCAATAGCCACTACCTATTTTCATGCAGCGAAAGGATGAGGTTGGAAGTGGCATTATCAGCTCTGAACTCCTTATGCCCATTAAACCACTTTAAAATCTCACTGCGCTGGAGAGGCTGTGCAGTTTCTAAGCATTTGTAATGGGATGGAGAAGTAATTTTGAACATATCCTGTTCATAAGAGCATTCAATTACCCTGTTACTTTTTGCTTTTGTTTCTTTTGACTGATGCGGAGGTTAGTATTAAAGCGCTCACTTAATCTCTTCCTGTCTGCTGCAATAGCAAATACGTTTGCAAACGGCGGTGCTTGCGCGTGATAATGTGAGAGCCCGACAGGTTGCAGCGGGAGGCTGTGAAAATAGCAGTGCGTCTTTTCAGAGGTGGGGAGCATCTTTTCAAGGCCCATCTCCCCGGAGGACATGGCCTGTCTCAGCCATGCTGTTAGCAGCAAGGAGGGTGAGGAGCTGATTCAGCACAGAGAAATAGCAAAACCAAGTCTAACTAACCCTTGGTGCCAAATGTTTCGTTTTTAGGCAGGACCCTTATTTTTCAGATCCGCAGTGACTGAGTTATACAATGCAAGTCCTTTTCAAAGCGGAACGCAATCATTTTAAAGCTGAATTGCTCCCAGAGAGGACAGTTTGTCCCACAGAAAGGGGGTAAACCTGCTGGACCCCAAAGCCAGCTGATAACGCTACCCCCTTTCCCTGCCGTGCCACCGGGACCTCTGCTTCCCTGGCTGGTGAGCCTGCCCCAAGCTCCAAATAACCTGGGGGCCAGCTGGCCCCCAAAACCCAGCACTTGGGGGATCGAAGGGGTTATAGGAGAATCTCGCTTTCCCTTACCAGCTCCAGCACAAGGGTTTCTAGCCCTGCAGTGTATAGGGAAAAGGCTTAAAAAACCTAAACTGAAAAATCTCGGAAAGGTTTTATTTGCCAGAAAGCCAAGATAAAGGACAGACTGTTTGCCACGGTTGGAAATAATCTCGTTATTTTAAAGCCTTCCTTTTGATTTTTTCCTGGGGACTGCACTGTTGAGAGAGGTCCTGGCTGCCTCGCTCAGCCACACGCCCCGTGCCACTGGCTTCTTCTTTACCTGAAAGTCTCATTTTGGCAGTCACACCTTGGGGAATACACGTTTAGGGCATGTTATTACAGGCCTAAATGTACCTCTTGGAAAGATGGAAAGATGGAAAGTGCGGTGGGATGGGATATTTGGGAGAGGTCGAACAACTCCCCTAGGGCAAGGTGATGGTGGGACTCGCTGGCAGGGGCATTCAGCTCACAGCATAAAGGCTGTGTTGAGTAAGGATCAGAGGGATGGTGGAGTTGGTGGGATACAGTCACGAAAATCCTTTCAGAGAGCTCTGAGGAAGCCCTCTTGCAGAGTTTCCCTTTGCTTCAAAGGCTAAAGAACTGGCCAAGCACCTAGTTGTTGACTGTTCTGTTATCTGAAAAAATGATGGTCACGATCAAAAAATGTGAAGTTGCAAATATACCATCTGAGAACACACTGTACAGCTGAAAAGTAATAAAAAGGACCACACAAAAGAAAAAAACCCCAACAAAACCCAAACAACAAACCCTCCTGCCAAAGTACAGGCTTCGGTTTCTAAGATTTGTCATCGCTCTCTGCAGCCCAGAGCCCTTACTCACTCTTGGTAAAATTTTTGTTGGAGTTAGTCACCCCCAGTCGCTCCTCTGCCCCCAAGCCCAGGAATTTGGGTTAGGCTCAATGCGAAGGAGAAGAGAAATCCTCCCTCCCCGGAGGGAAAGAAGCGAAAGTATCCTGTCCCAGGGTCACAGCCCTGGCGATGGGGCAGCGTCCTACACCTCTCCCCCACAGTCACAGGGCTGGAGAGGTGCTCCCAAGGAGCTGCAACCAAATCCTGCCCCATGCTGTGCATCGAGCCCAGGGGTCCTCTTCCAGTGCCTGCGGGTGAAGACCTTCAGTGCGGGGCAGTGCTGAGGACCACCCGACCAGGGGGGAGCATGGCTCATCCTACCCAGCCCTGTTCTTTGGTGGCTTCGCCAAAGACCCAAGATCGCTCAGCCTCCTGGGAATTGACTGGGTAACTGGGAATTGACTGTCCTGGAATTTTTACTTCTGCACAGGGGATGGGCACAAACCCAAAGCCTGGCAGCGGGGCCAAGCCCTGGCTCACTGGGTGGGACTCATCCCTCCTCTTGGCTCTGCTGGTAACCCAGACTCTTTCCTCTCCCAAATCCAAAGTGGGCACCAGGCAGAGAATCAGTTTTTGGGCCCCGTGTGTGCACGGAAGAGCCCTGTGCTCCCACCGGGTGAGAAAGCCTGCAGGAGCGGCTGTTGGAGGCGGGTGGCCCTCCCAGCTGGTGCCCAGGCTCTGCCCTGCCTGGAGCTGTGCTGGCGGCTCGTGCCGTTCAGCCGCGGGGCTGCTCTCTCAGCGGGACTTCTTTTTATACTCAGCAAATCACCTTTTTTATTTGCATATGACTAAATGTTTCTCAGCGAACCAGATAACAAAGCGGGTTGGCTTTTTGCTCCCAGTTGTACAGATACTTCATTATATATCATATCAGCTACAGAAAGTCAGAGCGATTATAATAGTATTATTGACCTTAGGCTTGGCTGATTTCTGAAAATTAAGCTCGACCAGTGCAACAGGAGATAGGAAATACCAACAGAGCACCCTGTTTACTGGCAAGATTTGTTCTGAATTACACTTTCCTCCCCACATGCTCCACATAGATATGAAGACATGAGAAACAAACCCAGGCAGGTACCTCTCCAAGCAGTACCGGCTTGTGTTTTTATGCACTAAGCTGAACAACTTGGATTCATTAAACATTCTCTCCCACAGAGAGCGCACTCTTTTTGTGGGGAAGAAAAAAGACAGCTAATGTAACTAATTGTAAAAAAGGGAATAAAATAAATAGGAGCTGTATTATATAAATGGAAAGGAAATAAATATGGAGGAGACCGCAGTACGATTCTGCAGATGGTGTGATAAATCTGTTTACAAACACAGATATGAGTGATATATTATGAATGCAACATCATTCCATATTTTCCATGAAGCACAGTGTTGCAAAGCCACTCAGATACATCCTTAAAGAGATAGTAGTTTCGCCTTTTATCTCTGACCACAGGAGCTTATTAGCAGGTAAATGATCTCAGCAGAGTAAGACAGATAAGGGACTAAAATGGAACGTATCTATCTGGCTGCCTCAAAGAGGCCATTTAGACTATGTTGGCTGAGGGACGGAAAGTCCCCTGACAAAAAGAGACAAGGCGTTAGACTTACAAGGGTGAATACATCTCACCTCCTGCCAGCAGAAGGGCGTGGGGAGCTTTACTTTATTCTGCCCAGGCCATAGAGAAGGATGCGAGGGTGGAAGAAATGTCCCCAGCCTCTGTGTCTGACTGTGCCTGCAGCACCCATGGTCTGCCCTCCCCAGGAACACGCTCAGCATCGGTGCATCTGTGCTTGCTGCCGTGGGGACACCCACAGCCCACAGCATTCACCGTGATAAATGCAACCCTCTCCTCATCTTGCTTCTCGCCCTCAGAGGCTGGTTAGGTCTGACGGGGAATGACAACTAAAGAAGCATGAATGCAAAAATACCCTGAATTTGAAGGGATTCTCTTGGGAAACATAAAGGGATCATAAAGGCTTGTCCTCCTGTACCTGGCCACAGCAACATTGCGGTTCATGGTGCTTTTTGGACCATTGCGTTGGCAAAGCTGTGATGTTCCCTGCATTCATTGAACCCAGTTCATAAAATTTCCTCCTCCTTTCTTTTTGAATCAGGTGCTTCCCAGATTCAGTTTTTTGTGCCCCTCTGTCCTTCAAGTCAGCTCCTAGGGAGATGACATCTGTGGGAGATAAATCAGGGCACGTCAATACTTTCTCCATCCTGTGAAGCTGTGGAGAACAGAGCTGCACAGCACAGCCTTCAGTCTAAATTATTACATGCCTCCAGGATGACACCGATCACAGCAAGGACCTGGGAGGACATGTAAAAATGGATTTCTCAGGGCAGCTAACTATAATTGGATGAAAATGAAAGGGAGAAAAATTACAGGCCAAAACGATTCTGATTTTTTGGGACCAGACCCGCTACCCATGCTGCAGGATGGGGGAGCATGAGGGGGAACGGCAGCTCCTTGCTGCCCTTTGAAGAAGCCTGAGCACATCCCGACCTCACACGCTGCCCTCACAGCCTTCCGCAAGGCTGCTGGGACACACCGCCGGCCCTTAAGGAAAGCTCTTTTTTGCTGCTCAGCCCCTCCTCCCTTCCGTGCCCGTTCCTGGCACTCAGGAGCCTGTTCTGCCTGGCTGACTGCTAATGATAGGTTTCGCTTCTGGGTAGTTCCAGTTTTCATTCTGCTGCTGGGAATATGCCGAGCCTTTGTATTTTGCAACATGTCAGACTACTCAGTCACTAAAAAGAAACAACATCCTGGCTTTGTGCTTTCCAAAACCACTTCAAGCAGCGTGATGGGTTTGTTCCTCCTCTCCTCTTCCTTTCATTTATACTATTGTGTTTTCCCATGCAGCGTCTGAACAGCTTGCATACATACAGGCTAATGAAATCATCCTCCCGTGGACTGAAAGAAGGGAGGGGGCCCACAAATCTCTACTTTAGAAACCAGCCTGACCCCTTGGTGTGGGCACATTAGCATCAGTAGGTACCGGCAGCATACT